GAACAAAAATCCATCGACGCACATACATAGTGGTTCGCCATACGTGTAAAGGAAAAGGTATTGCAGGTTGTATGGTCGCGAGAAAGCAGCCGCGATTCACTTAGATTAATGGCCGAAGAGATAGAAACGCGGCCAACTATAACGACCCCAACTCCTGCTTCTCCTTTGATAATCGGTAGATTAACCGACGGAGCTAGGCCACAGTTTCGTTTTGGAAGGAAAGGTCGAATATCGCGTTGAATGGAAGAGAAACGATTAGATCTATCTATGCGTGTAATTTTGAACGAATATTTTCAATACAGAAAAAAAAAAAGGATAATTTTAATCCTTCCAGAAAATGGTAACATCATCAACGAATAAGATAAAATATATATTTTAATATATATATATATAAATTAAATACTTCGACGAAAGTTTATATTATTATATATCGTTAATAAAGCTTAAGCTCTCTGCGAAAAACTCGAGTAAAACTTTATTTATAGGAATAAATTTATAGAAGAAGGAAAGCTGACGCAAAGAAATGGGGTTTATCCAAGGAAAAGGGAAAGGATAAGGGAAGGAAATTTCGAGACGTCGCAGGAAGAAAGGATCCTCCTAATTATCGGAGTTTCGATAAAATCCGCTAAATACTGAAACGAGCGAGATAGGCGTGGTAATAGGTCGCGAGATAACGAGCGGATCAAGATTAAGAATTGACAGCGGCGGAACTCGAGCTACACCCCCTTCCTCTTTTTTCGTCCTGGTTTTGGTGCCGGTTATAAACACCGCCGTACGATACACGATAAGCGAGCGATTTCCTTTTTTCCCTTTTTTTCTCTCTCTCTCTCTCTCTCTGTCTCTCTCTTTATTTTTCGAAGCACAAACCCGGACCAAGTTCCAAGGCAAGTTTAGATTTTAATTAGAAAGTTAAACCGTAAACCGGGGTCAAAGTGGCGAAGGCTCGACGAAGTTCCAACCTCGGCCGGCATTTCAGCCCTCGTACGCTATTTACAAGGTTCCACGGCGTTGGGTTAAATTTATTACGTCGCTGTTTGATCGGCGAGCAAGGGAAATTGCTGCGGATAACCATAAATTGCCGTACAAAACTGCGTCTTCGAATCGGGCGGGAAACAGGTTTCCATCGATAATAATTCGAATCGGATTGCGACGATTTGCTTCGAGGGAAGGTACAATAGGAATATACACAGGAAGCAAATAATAATCGTCCATTGTTGATCTAAATTCAAAGATAGATTATTGTATTAAAAAAATTGGATTATTCGAATGCGAGACGAGACACGTTATTTTTAATCGAAGATTCAGATAATTGGATATCAATGATATATTTGTCCCGATTTTTACATATATGTTTATTATATCTTCTCGTTAATAAATAATTCGTGTAATTGGAGCGATGATACTTTCAAGTAACAAAGGATTAGTCACGAATCATTTATCGAATTAGATATTGAAAAATATCATTTCGATGAGTTTCACTCGGTACACGAGAATATACAATAGCGTAACAAAGCTTCGAAATATTGAAACGTTCGCCACAATACACGTGCATTTATAACTTATTACATTCCATATATAAAACAGATAATATTCCACAGATAATATTCATTTTCTTTTTTCTTTTTTTTTTCTCATTGAAAAGTTCTGCGAAATCAATAAACCGGTACACTATCAATTATCCAGCTTGTCTGCCAGCTTTCCCAAACAATCATTCCATTACAGAAACGCGCGCTGTCGTGCCACTTTCCGCGCCAACTTTTAGAAACCTCGCGCACCGGATGTGTCACCATCATCTATTAGAAAACTCGAACGATACGTCAGTCTGAAGTCCTCTGACCGTTTCCTTGACCGTTCCAACCACATCCCGCACATAAATCCTTGCCACTTGCATTCCTACGAATACCGTTTAGAAAAACCCCCCCCGTTCAACGAAACGTCAACCACGGGATCGATTGACACGTTCCACCGTTCATCGATCAAATATCCAACCTGGCAAACCATTAGAAACCTGTGGAATTCGAATAGAAGTCGACCTCTCAGCCGATACACTATATATATATATATATACACGTTTCGCCAATGGATAGAAATTTCGATTTCTTCCACGAACGGATCATTGTGCACAAAAAAGTAAAATCGCGGTAATGTCTAGATGGCGACACTTTGAATCCATTAAACGCAATCGTCTCTCCGTTCAGCACGACAAAATAAATATTAATTTCGATCTCTTCGTTGACAAATCATGGCAAACGTGTTGCCAATTTGATCGAAGAGAAAATTACTTATTTATATTGCTTCGTAACCTGTGCAAATATTAGAAAGAAAATACTAGTTCCCTCGCTGTAATAATCATCGACGACCAACCAATGACAAAATATCGGCTTCAGATCGCTATATGTGTAAAAATGGGGTTAACCGCCGCAGCGTTTAAACGACGGAGTCCATTAGAGAGTAAATCGCTCTTCGTGTACGAACATTTACGTTAAACGCCATTATAATAATCGTATTTCCAATATAATATCCGATGGACACAATCGATGACAGAATATACGTTCTCCCCTCTTTGTGCACCGTATGAAAACGTAGCAATAAAATTGATCTTACGTGAAATTGGAAATTGGACGTCGACACTAGTTTCGAATTGGCAATTGTATCATATTGTGTCGTATTGTAATATAAGTCAAGCTGTTCAGACGACTTCGAACAAATGTCAATTATAGGAAAACAGTCGTTTAGTTCGATGGGAGGAGCAGGAAAAACGTGCGCGCGATATTGTGTCCCGATTGTTTGAATACAGCCGTATGGCGATACGGTTTCCCATCGATACTTGTACATTCCTGGTGTAAAAGCTTAATTACAAGCTTAACACGCAAAACCGCGCGCTGCTTTCGACAACATCCCTGGCGAATCATACTGGCGAGCTGCGCAAACATCGAGCATCTCTCTGTTTCATTAATTGGGAACGCGGCGAGGGGCGAAGTCAACGCGACAATCGCGTCGATTGTTTCCGACCCAACACCAGTCGACGAAATGTCGATCCATACGGGCTTTATTTACGTTTATTTGCATTCGGTTAATTTATGACCAGTTTTTCTTCTTTCACCCTCGTTTCGTGGGTAATCGCTCTTCCCCCTCCCTTCAAACGAATGCTCTGGTAATTTTTACCTAAGTGACTCGTTGTTGTTTCTTTTTTTTTTTTTTTTTTNTTTTTTTTTTTTGCGAAGAAATTTGTTACTTGTTCTTTCTTCATCGTTTATATATGGAATCGTTGAATGTTTTTATTTTGATTGTAATTATCGTGTATCGGTGAAGTAATTTAATCGAATAATTATTGCGACGATTAGTTAAATATTATCGTGTTAAAATATCGAGGAATTAATTTATATGGGTAATTTCGTTTAAAAAGAAATAGAGAAACGTCAGATCATTCTGAGAAATAAATAAATAAATTCGAAAGAGAAGGTAGTCGATTAATTACAATTTATCATAGTTTATTATTATTGCAACGTCTACTTTCTACCCATTTCAAATATTAATCACATATTTCGAAATTCGATCTCATCCCTCTGAGCCGTGTTAAAATCAGCTTAATTAGATTCAACAGTCAGCCCAAGTACCTAATTAAAACTTTTCCTAACTGCCCAATCAAATTCTCAACCCTTCCCTCCGAAACATTTCCCAGAGAACCAGCCATACCACACCATCTTCTGTCATAAATCCAACATCCCAATAAGAATCCCTCATCCAACACGCCGATCCACAACGATCCCTCCAATCCCTCGGCTATATTAGATCGTTCCACTTTATTGCTCGATCGTTCTACTCTCTCTACAAATCATTATTTTTTCTTTTCTTTCCTTTTGTCATCGAGCAATATATTTGTCTAGTTTCAATCTATCAATTAACCCATTCACATTTACATATATTACATCGTGTAATTTTAATACTCAAAAAATTACGTCTCAATATTGTACTGACCGTCGCGTAATGAATTTCGTTGAAAAAGAAAACGAGAAATTCTTCGATTTCTCCTACCTTTCGCCCTTTCATCCTCCTTCTAAATTCACTAGACTTTGCTCTGCTGTTGCGTACATCGTTTCGAAGACATTACCGGGGCACCGAACCTGTTCCAGACGTGAAACCGAGGCCGTGGTCGCGACACACGCGCCTTCTCCCCTATATATCCGATCCGCGGAATGCACAATTGCTCGAGAAGTCGGCGAGGATCTCCGGATGTCTGCGCGATGACTCATTGTTGGCGGCCGAGTCGAGATACAGGGACCGGTTCTTCCGCGACTCGCCCCTTTTGCGATCAAGGTCGGAAATGTGGAACATTTTTAAAGGGGTTGGCGGACAATGAAGAGAATTACGCGTAATTTGGAGGGGGAAATCAGATTCTACAATGATAATTTCGGTTGGTCGTGGAAATTTTTGTTTTCTTTCGGGACGATACAATTCGACGAGGGACCCTGCGATTCATCCCTTTCGCGATCAAGATCGGAAATGTGGAACATTTTTAAAAGGGTTGACAATGAAGAGAATTACACGTGTAATTTGGGAGAGGAAAGATTCTATGATGATAATTTCGATTGGTCGTGGAAATTTTCTTTTTCGAGACGATACAATTTGTTGGAAAGAAAAAAAAAGGAAAGAAAGGAAGAGAGAGAGATATTATTACGCGAGAAAGGAAAGGAGAATTGCGGCGCAACGTGTCGAGAGAACGTGTGCCATGGAAATTGACACATCGCGATTTTGAAGCGAGATGAAGGAAATAGTTTGAGAACTATTCGAAGCATTTCACGGGGCTGTTATAGTTGAACGGGGCGCTAGTTGATGGATGGATGATGATTGCGAATAATTCGCAGGATCGTAGAATTTGACGGAGGAGGATAGATTTGAATGGGAGAGAGAAAGAGGGGCGAGAAGAATGGGGTTCTGTAACCGATCAGTGTCCTAGATACCGGGCTATAGGATGTTAGAAAGAGGATCTATGCGATAGAATGGAAAGGTTAGACCCCTCAGAGGGTCTTATGGATGGAGTGGAAATTGATGTAGAGGTTCCTGATACGACAGGTGAGTGGAATTTGGGTAAGAAGAGGAATTTGGCGGTGAATTTCTCTCGAAAAATTTATTGCATACCATATTTCAATGTAGATATATTCCTATGATCTATTGTGATACGCGAATATATATCATCTTCGTTTATATTTCTCGAACAAAATAGAGATACTAAAAAAAGATCGGACCTTGTTTCATAAAACTTGAAAATAAGTCTTATTACCAAAATATCATTGATTAAAACAATTAAAATAATAGTTTGAAATTTATTTCACACATTATTTTACAGAGAAATTCACCTAATTCGAAAATTTTGATCTTTGAAGTTTGTGTATATTTTGTAAAATTTATATTGAAAAATCTTTTTAAAGACAAATCAATCCAAAGTTTCTTTTAATTTTTTAACATAATTTTGCCTGACAATTTTTTTTTTTTCATAATACGATCATTAAAATTTTGCTCCACCTCAAACTATTATATTTAAAAAAACGTGCTTCAAAATTTCGTTCATTTCATCTTTTTAAACCATATTCTGATTAAAAAAAGTGCTTATATAGTTTATATAACTTTACATATCAACAAAATTTCATTAAAAAAATATTCAAACATTTCGTGAGCCACATGCTTACGAATTGTCTTCAACAGAAATAGTTTCTTCTAGGCACAATAATCTTTATCGAAGTGCGTTCTCCGATTCACAGATCGAAGAAAGAAAACACGTTCACTCGTGTCTTCTAGCGGCCTGTATCGATTATTACCGCGGTCCATCAGTTTACTTATTCAATCAGCCCCGCGTAACAGTGCGTGCCAAATAATCATTCATAGATAGCGCACAGGGTCCGGTTCAACTGGCGCGTACATGTATAATCCGCGCGCATAAATGCGGCCACGTAGCGAGACGTGCATGAGCGTGCACGTATATCACGTTTCGACACAGTAGCTCATAATTGATAATCCCGTGGCGCTCGAAACGCTTATTCGACACTACGAGCCTCCCCCCCTCTCTCTTTCTCGTCAAGGCTTATCTATCCGGTTAATCGTAATTTCTATTTACGCTTCGATCCGCTCGTTAATTAACCGGCTGGTGAAACGTTCGTGTTTGAAGAAAATTGTATCCGACCTTTGACGCTCGTTCTGGCCTCAATCGGAAAGGAAGGAAGGAAGGAAGGAAGGAATTCTTCATTCTTGTCGAGAATGTGATATCATAATCGCGTGTAAATTGTCGAGTAATAACATTTAACGAATTTCAATAGGAAAAAAAAAAAAAGATGGAGATTTTTCGAAGGAATCCATCTGCTTATATGATTTAAAATTTACGCGCGCTTGAGAGACCTGTCTAGCGATAGGATTATCGAAACAGATATACCAATCAGATATACAAAAATTAGAAAACTTTGGATGATGGTATTCAAGGTTTACGAAGCAGAAGAATAAACATTGAAGCAAAATACGAGATAAAGAAGATAAACAACAAAGACTCGATGCTTCTACGGTTCAACTTTCCTCGATTCCTCGACAGTGATCTCTTTTTCTTTTTCCCCTCTCTTCCCCCCAAAAAAGAAAGAAACCACCACCGTGCCGTTCACATTGTAGCGAACGAAAACAGACGGTGGGTGTCTTCGAGGCTGAATATCGTTCTACCTGCCCATCCCGAAGGAAATAGCCGATAAAACTGGTTTGACGAGTAGCGGCCTCCTCTCGTCCAGTTACTCGGTAGGACGTCTTCGCGTTTACCTCGTCTCTCTCTCTCTCTCTCTCTCTCGACCCTTCTGCCTCTCGACTGCCCCTGCTCGAAGCCACCACCGTCGATATCACCAACCGACCGTGAAGATTTCTACGCCACGGTCCCCAAGCGTAGTAAGAACGAAGAAGAGCCGCGCTTGGGTCCCACCACTCATCGCTGGATCCGGCCATCATTGTTACAAATATTACCATCGCCATTCACCGGGGGACCAAGTCGGTGTCGTCGACCATACGCGAGATATAGCTGTCGCGAACAGGTTTTTTTTAAAAGTCCGACTCACGCCGTCGTGTTCGCTTTCGGCCGTGCTTAGTCAACGATATCGAACGTCCCTGTCACGCCACCGCGTTAACAGCGACTGAAACCGCTCTTCCTTTTTTTTTTTTTTTCTTTTTTTGTCGAACCCGAATCGCGAATCAGTTTTGCCGTTTTTGGCGAGCATCGCCAAAGGAGGGAGCGAAGGTTGGATCCCATTGATTTTTGTAATTGCGGAGCGCCGGCCGAGAATCTGACCGAGTTTTTGCGGATGATGGAACGAATCGAGGAATCTTTTCGCGATTCCTTTTCGTTCTTTTTTTCTTCTTCCTCTTGGAACGGGCACGGGGTGTTTCGGTTTGGATTATCATTACCGTCCCCCTCGTCGCGACCAGACGATTTCCAGTCTGTTATATTTATGGAGCAGATTTAATGGGATGCTTCTTGGAGAGCAACTGATAAGAAGCTTAAGCAATTTAACGAAACCACCAGTCAGCGTTTCCCTCGGTAACCGTGATTTGCAAACTTGACTCGGAATTTTCAATCTATTTACTCTGTTAATCTAGTTATTAGTCCGGTTACATGGGAGGAGGGTGGATTATCCGGTATTCGGGTAATTACATTTTCGTTTGGAAATCGGATAGAAGATGCAAAAGAAGCGAGTGTTTATCCAATTTTCTATTTTTTTTTTCTTTCTTTCTTTCTTTCTTTCTTTTCCTCCGGCGATCTCGATGAATCTCATCGTTGCGAGGATTTATAACACTGGTTAAGTGTCACTTCGTGTAAGAGTTGTAACAACCGCGTGAATGACAGGACGCGATAGGAGGCACGATAATACCGGGCAAGTTTTTGCGTACGCGTGACGTTTACTTTGTAAGCAATTTTAGAACAAGCCCACTACCAGTATACATTATCGGCTGATTAATTTTCAAGAAAGAGAGAGAGAGAGAGAGAGAGAAGATTAAAAAATAAACTCGTTCCTCGAGATCGTTCCTTCCAGAGATTTTTCCTTCTTAATAGTAGAAAATATTACGCGATCAATGGCGATGATGGAAAATTATTATTCAGAGATCAGAAATTAAATGATAAAATGACATATTGAGATAAGATACATTGGTTATTCGTTTACGAAGCATCAAGAAAATTATCTATATCTGTCCTGATCCACAATCACTTTTGAACGACGGATAGTTGTCAAGTAAATTGCAAAATACTCTCCTTAAATAACCACCGCTCTGTCCCTCTTCTCCTCTTTAATAAATTCTCGTGTTGTGGCTGTACGTATCCATCCATGAAAAACACGCAACACCATCGAACGTTTTCCCAGCATGGAATCGATAATTACCAACGCATCTATCTTTCATTAGCCCCGTCCTCTTCCTCCACTACATCTGACCCCTTGTTCACCCATCTTTCACACGAGCAACTAAGGTAAAACGCATACACGTATTTCGAACTGGGTTGTTGCTGATTATCGTGCAATGGCGAAAGTTATAATGACGCCTATTAGTCGCGCGTTAATCACGCTTCAAAGAATCGAGGCTGGTCGCGATATCAATTGAAAAGCCGATTCCTCCTCATCGTGATATCTCACGCGAGTTTCGTCCTGTGATTTATAGCCAATGAAATCGAACGAGGGAAATGTCTTTTAAATTGTTTTTGCAAATCGAAAGGTTTGTGGATAATTAATCGATACGTTTATTACTTAGAGATTTATATCTTTGGGATAGTTTTTATAGAGAATTGCATAGAGATGGTAATTGTTCTGCTTGGAATAATTCTTTGTTGAGTTGAGAAAAATTGTTATCGTGGAAAGATGATATTATAGGAAAATATTTGATAATTTATGATATAGTTGTTCAAAGAAAACAAAAACAAGTATATCATAATTTTCATTCGTTCAGTTTCGTAAATCTGATACATGGCCTGATCTTTATTCGTCAATGTTTTTACAATTCACCTTTTCGTGGCTTATGTATCTAATAAAAGGAAACCGAGTGTAACTTGAAGAAAAAAAATGATTCGATATTTATCTAGAACCGCAGTCGATGCTATTATACAATGATTATGAGATACTCGAGGAGCTGCTGTTTAGTTTGATTTGCAAGAGGATAATGCCGAAGATAATACACTTAAGGGGACGAAATCTGCGGAGCGTGACGGGTTTACCACGATTGAAATCGAAGATTTTAATCGCTTAAAGCTACTCGTTCAAGTATAACTCTGATTGAATACGTGTTCCACGTTTATAGTCACATCACGTGCTTCGACTCGTGTACTACATACAAATGACGCGGATACTTTCGAACAATATACCCAGATACAAAGTTTTGTACCTCTTCTTGTTATCCTTTATACTAATAATCCCTTTTCTTTGTTGTCCCTATATCTTATCTACCGCGTTTTCACCTTGTTAACATATTAACCGTTTTATTATCAATTACGAAAAATAGGAATAAATGTTTATCAGTCCTTGAATATCTTCGATATTTTTTAATCTACATTCATGATATTTGTTATAAAAATAACAAAAAACTCGATCGTTTCAAAAATTAATTCAAAATTACCTCGCAATTTCTCGAGATTGCAATAATCGGCAAAATTCGGCCAAGATCGGAAGCTTTCGATACTCGTAACTCCGAAAGAACCCGATCTCTCCCGATCTCACCCGAATATTTCCGACTCTTTCCGAAGATCCAGCTTTCAAATTATCCCTCGCAATTTTCGATTCTTCTAATCAACACAACGCGCAGAACACAACATCGCATTGAAAATTGATTCGCCGCCGTATATATTTTTTCGTATGAATCATTTAATGGATATATACAAAAAATTAAAGTAAAAGAGGAGATTAGAATCTGGAACTCGCCACGCGTACATCAGCGTGACGCACGTGCTCGAATGTCAGAAATACCTCGAAGCGTATAATTCGTGAGCATAGGAGAAAGTTCGCTGCTCCGAGACCACCTCGACGAAACGCCAAAGGGATCAACGGACCGGAGACAGTAAAGGTCAGGGA